GGTCTATAGGTGCGAGCGATGTGGGCAATTGCCCCACAGCCCTCAGTTGTCCGTGCTGCGACGCAGCATGTCGCGCTAAGCCGCGCAGGGGACAAGACATTGTTCTGCGAATGCAAAGTCAAAGTCTCTCTCTCTCTCTCTCTCCCTCCCTCTCTCTTTCTCTAGCTTTCGCGGTCTAGCCGAACACTGGTCCGAGTGCTCGCACTGGACCGTGTCGTACCCGACTCTCACGAAGCGTACTCGGATTTGCCATCCGTCATCTTCCTGCCGGGCTTTTAGAGTTTAGGGGCAACGCTTATCGCAAATTTGCTTTTGCACAAAGCTGACACATTTTCCACATGTTTTCCGCAGCATATAAGTAACTGACAGTTTCCCCAGCGCATCTTGCCGGCGCCGGCCGATCGTGAAACAGTGCCTCGTGAAGAGTGGGAAATGGTGCCGTGAAGCTACAAACTTGTGGCAAAATAGCTTGCGGATTCGCAGAGACCAGCGAAGGCAGTTTTAGAAACGTTTCTGTGGTGGTGAGTAAATGAGTATGTGCATTGACATGCATTGACAAGTTGTGTGTGTCTTCTGAAACCAGTCAGTGCCCAAAATAATGGTGGGGACGTGGTGAGGACCGCAGAAATTGAACAGGCGTTGCCACGTCCACGAGTGTTTTGCAATCCTTCGCATGTTCACAATGCTAGCTGCTAGCCTGTAGTGCTTTTCCATGCAGTCCCGCTACGGCTGGTAGCGGGTAGAGGGGGAAATGTCCAGAGGTCGCACCTTCAAAAGACCCTACGATGCCTTTTCGGCCCCTGGGAGACCAACGAAGGGCAAAGGCCGAGGCTCGGAGTGACACGAAAGCGAAAGCTTGATGTCCTCTGGTGAGAATGGCAGGTTCGCAGGCCGCATCAAGGCACCGCACTTGTGTAGTGTTGTTGGCTGTCGATGTGCGCAGTCGGAATCTTCTGTATACTTCGAGCTGAAACCTGTGCCTACGACGCTCACGCCTCTCAAACGTTTTGTGCAGGGAAGTTGTGAAGAAAAGGAGCACTTCTATATAGGTCTCCTGCATCGGCGTGCTACATAAGCATCCTCACTGCTGCAGTGTGCTCTTTGTTCTTGCAAGCACAGCTATGCAGATTTCCACAGCAGACGGCGTCGGATTCGTGATTCGAGCCGTCACATGGCTTGTGCTGCGACGCAGGAGCATCCTGTGCTACATGATGCTACATGTCAAGACAGCAACTCACGGACCACAACTGTAAGCATAAGAGAAGCACATACTCGACCTGACATGGCAGCCCCGCCGCTTCTGGCAATTGATGCTTTCTGCACTCATGCCGCCGATGCAAAGGCGAAGGCCGATTGGTGTCGAAGCTCCGTGCCCTTCATGATGTGTGCGAGCTGAAACGGTCTTTGTAGCAGCTCTGGCGTATGTGAGACACTGCCAGCTTCAGAAGGCGCCTCTGCGACACGTTCTGATTCGTGACCTTGCGAAGGCAGGCTCTCAACCGCACCAAAGAAAACAACGTGCCTTTGAAGACAGAAATAGTCTGGTGGCTAAGCACGGCTCGCAGGTGGCAGCCGCGCTAAAGCAACCGCTGGCAACAAAGGACTTTGCCTTCTGGGCCGACACTCGGGAAGTCCGCTATCGTAGTGTCTTCTGAAAGTGCTTGCACGGCGTTTCTAGGGTGCCAAGCCGCACCGATGAGCTACACACAGGATTTAGGACCCTCGGAAGTTTTGGACGCTTGTGAGGCTTAGGATCCCGTTGCATAGCACTGGCAGAAACTCTAAATCCATGTCAGGCCTTGCCTGTTTTATCGCCAGAAGAAGTTTGCAAAAAGCATTCCAGGAGGCAGCAGCTTTGCTTCAGGCACGGGACCGGCATGCAGGGAATCGTCGTACAGGATTGTCACGCACGATAGTTGCACGATAGTTGCAGAAGACGAGTTGCTTAGGTTACAACGACTCTCCACGGCCTGCAATAGATGTCAAGTTTGCTGACCTGGCAAGGCTTTCGACGGAGAGCCAGGTGCTGCCGAGCTCTGTGCAAAGCAGATGCATGTGAAGCTTTTGAGGCCAGAGTTTCAGTGGCTCTGCTGGTCATAAGCTTCAAGGACTTGTAACATCGTTTGGCAAGAACATTTCGAAGGGGGTGCCGGCGGGACAAATTTCAACAGTGCAAGCTTGCTCGCATTGCGGCTCTAGTTGTGTTGCTGCTTGAGGTTTGTACTGAGCTGTTAAATTCATCAGCAGCATTCATCAGCCTTTTTTTCCACAGCATTCTGCTCTTGCATGAGGGCGTAGAAGTCTTGTCAGAGTTAGACCTCCACGCTATTCCTGGACACGGCAGGCGCCTGGCCAAAGCATCCAGTACTGCAGAGATTTCAAAGGCTATGCAAGGCGCCGTTCTTGACCTGGTCCGGTGCCCAGGAACATGCTGCCAGTGGATGCCTCTTGCTCCTTGTGCCGCTCTCTAGCTAGCTGCACATCTCAAAGCGATTCAAAGCGTGTAGTCCGAAGGATGCAGATCTCCGACAACAGCGACCTGGAGTACCGGGCTGCAGTGGCAACTTAGCTGCCTGCGCATGAGCCTTGTGCACTGCAAAGGGGCGAGTGTTGTTGCATCAGCATTAGGCATGACGGCGAGAATGTCTTTGGGACGGCATGGTGCTGCTTCTTTGGCCGAGGTGTCATTGCACTTTTTGTGTGCGTCCCAGCTGCAGTTTCCGAGCATGCAGGGCTGACAGGTTTCGAGTGTGTTGGCGACGCAGAGCCGTTTGTTTTCTTGTCTTTCGATGATCTGTGTTTGTGAACACTGGCATGTGGCTGTTCTGGATTCTTGTAATGTTGATCGAATTGTCTAGTTGTCTGTACTTGTAGTGATGAGTCTTTCATGCTGGAAACCCGACACGTCGTGCATTGATGGTTAGCAGGAGGGCATGGGAGGGAAGGCTTTGGGTTTACCTGGAGCCACAGGTGGACCTCGTGCCATGCTGCATGTGCAAACACCCCTGTTATGCCTGAAGGCCACTGCGCGAGCTGCGCCCATGGGAGTTTGCTTCCCCCATCTACGTGAACTCAATCTGCACTCACTCATTACGCACGACTTGTCGGCAGCTTTGCATGGACGGCGACTCATACATCATGTGACACCTCCTGCGCAAGTGACTCCGATCACAGCCATCAGCGTGCACGGCAGTCTGGCGTTGGAGAACCGCACCGCTATGGACCTCAAAGTCCTGATTTGTGTCTACTATCATGGCAAAGTCGGCAAAGTCGCCATATCGCCATGTGCCTTTGAAGAGGTTGTTTCCCGGGACACATTTTTGTTTTTGAGCAGTGACACAATTGGAGAAAAACGCAATAGTTCCATGACGGACCAACGATTTTACAGAAGTGCATCCTGTGATGCGACCGAACGAAACATAAAGAGAGGCGATGCTTCCAGACAAGTTCATGGGATTGAAAACGCGGTACTGCCTCTTTCCAAGTCTTTTCCATCCACAGTCCTGAGTTTGTTCTTGCTTTGTGTGTTGTCCACGAGTACCCTCGAAAATCTGAGACATCATGTCTAGCTGCCCCTGTTCATGCAGTGGTGGATAGCGGGCCCTGGCATGCAGACTCTCAAACTTGCAGAATATCTGGCAACTCAGCAAGACGCAGCAATTTCAGGAAGAAACCCAGGTGTCACAGGTTGAGTTCGGAGACTTCATGCACACGCGCAAGAACTTGTGAACAGCACAAGCCGTTGACGCGGACTGCAACAAAGCTGTTGAGGGAGTAATTACCAAGCCTGTCTGTCACTCCCCTGCCCTGTTCGATGTGTAGTGGTAGTTACCGAGCGTTTTGGAAGCAGCACTACTTCACTGCTGCCACAACGAATGTCAAGGTTGGCTGCTGCCTGTATGTGGTGGTGGCTGGCAGCTGCGTAGGTCGATGGTTCATGTGATGTTCATGTGAGTGGAAGACACGTTCCTGACCTTGCAATGCAGCACAGGTAATGCACACAGGTGGTCAGAAAATGGGCAGGGCTTGTTGCAACTGTAAGCACAGCACCGCTGTGCAAGACCTAGCATTGAGGGCGTTATTGCTCGTGTTGCACCGAAACATCCGTTTTCAAGGGAGTTGACACTGGCAGGCAACATCTGGGGAAAAGGTCTCAGTGATCTGGCGTTTGCCCCGCCTGTCAGCGAGATTGGGAAGGACGATTGTCTTGTGATGGGGTTGTCGAGCAAGAGTCGGCTGGAGCTGGCGTGCAAGCTGGTGCTCCAAGCGTGAGGACGGCGTGCTGCGCAAGTCCAGCAAGGAGAGCCCCGAGCAGAAGCGAGCAAAGGCGACGGCCACAGCTCCACCCTTGTAGCCTTGGCGGTGCAACTGCGCCACTGCTGCGCTGCTGTGCCGCTGTGCCTTGTGCCAGGCCTTGCTTCGGTTGAAGGCTCAGCCGAAGCAGTCCGATAGGAGCATTCGATTCCTTTGGCTCCGCTGTGGTAAATATTCAGACTACGGCGATCGTCTCCAGTTGATTGTTGAGGCATGCGAGGGCCACTGAAAATCTTTTCTTTCAGCACTTCTCCCCACAGACTGCTGGGCTCCCGAAATTCTGATGATGCAGCTGCGCCCGCGCCGTCATGGGGAGAAGTCTCACCAGGTGTTGTCTTCCCGTAAGAAAGGCCCTTCTTCGGTGCAGAAGATTCTGCCACAGTTGTGCCTCTACTCTGCTTTCCTATCGCTGGCCTTTGTGGATGTGGGTCACTGCAGTCGGTGTAGCTGTGGTGTTGCTGGAATCCAAAGTGCGAGCCAATGAACAAAGGCGTTATCTGGTTCAAAGGGCTGCACCGACTCTGAAACTACTTCGACTCTTTCTCCAGTCAGTGCTTGGCATGCATTTTCGCATCTACATGGCCAAAATCAGGTAGGGAAGGAAGAGCAGCGCACGCTTGATTTGTGCTCTCCATGAGCCTAAAAAACTCAAGGATCCTACCCCGACGGCCCGTTGAAAGCGACAACTTTCTCATTTGTTGGATCCTTTCGCACGTCAAAACCGACAAATTTAGTGGTCGAACCGCCAGATCTCGATGCATTGGTGTAGTACTCGCATCGAGTCGAAACGTTCAAGACGATTCTTGGAACACGATCGGGTGCCGCTTGTTGCTTCGGGGCTTATCTCGTGGAGTGCAAAATTCCGCAGTCCGCAGGGCCGACGTCGGCTACCGGTGGTGGAAAACTCGTGGGCCGGTCTGTATTCAGGGGTGCAAGTGAAGTGGGAGACAAGGGGCCCCGGCTTCAGAGTGATGAGAAACAAGTCTAGTAGATGCTTGCATGGTAGGCCCGGAATCCCCATCAACAGATCGGCGGCTCGGTGAAGCTCTGAGATGCCCCTTTCTTCGCGTCGCTTCATGCCATGGTACTCTCCACTGCGCTGAGGTCTCGCTTCCCGGAGGTCGTCGTCCGGGCTCTGAGGCCCATTCCCTAGCATTCCTTCGGCTTTAGCCATTCAAGAGCTCGTCTTCATAACCTGCAATATACGTGTAGTCGAGCAGTCCGAAGTCCGGACCTTTAGATTGCGACGGAAGGGCAAGCTTCGCTTGTGACTTCTACCTGCCTCTTCTTTGGAGTGCTTTCCTTTTGCTGTCCAGGTCTCCTTCCATCTAAGGTAATCAAGACGATTTATCCTCCGGGCCTGCATTTTTGTAGCTTCGCTTATTCTCGTACATGCTGTCTCAGAAGCACAAATAGGGCAGACGCAAGTTCGTTTAGACATAGAAAACAAACCTTTTATAGGCTTATAGGGTTTATCTAGTTTAGACACAAAAACAAACTTTCGGAGTCCCGGGTAGGCGCAGGTTAGTCTAAACATAGAAAACAAGCCTTTTGTAGGGTTTATTTAGTTCAGACACAGAAGAACAAACTTTCGGGGTCCCGGGTAGGCGCAAGTTAGTTTAGACATAGAAAACAGACCTGTTGTAGGCTTTAGCTTAAACGCAGAAAGCAAACCTTTGGAGTCCCGGGTTGGTGCAAGTTTTTAGAATAGACTGAAAAAACAAGCCTGTTATGGGTCTAGTTTAGACTGTTGTAGGCTTTAGTTTCGACGCAGAAAACAAACTTTCGGAGTCTCGGGTTGGTGCAAGTTCGTCTAAAGTTGAAATACAAACCGTTTATGGGTGTAGTTTAGACATAGAAAGCAAACCTGTTTAGTTTAATCACATAAAGCAAACTTTCGCAATCTCAGGTTTAGTCTAGACATCTTTTGCTCCCTGAAGTGCCCACGTATGATCGAATTCGGTTTATGTCATCATCTTTTTCTTCTCTTTTAGCCTCCCTAAGGCGATTTCTTTTGGCTTCTTCCTTCATGTTGGAGAAGATGTTTTTGTTTTGTTTTCCTAGATGTTATAACTACAGTCAATTTTATTTCATCGCTTTTAACCCCCCTACAGCGATTTCGTGTGGCTTCTTCCTTCGTGTTGGAGAAGCTGTTCTTTTGTGTATTTCTCGGTTATGCGGTCTTAAATTTCTTGCGCTTTTAACCCCCCTAAATCGATTTCGTGTGGCTTCTTCGTTCGTGTTGGAGAAGATGTTTTTGTTTATTTTTCGGTTATACAGTATTTACTTTCTTTTCTTCGCTTTTAACCTCCTAAAGCGATTTCGTCTGGTTGAATCCTTCGTGTTGGAGATAACGTTGTTTCTTTTAATGTCTGGTTATACAGTATTTGCTTTCTTGTCTTCGCGTTTAACCGTTTGTCGTAAGAAAAACAAACCGTCCCTCC